CCAGTTTGGCCAATGTACATGGCAGAGGGGCATTGCTGGCACATGATGGCATATATCACATTGGTAGACGTGCAGGTGAACGAGCCTCTGATGGTGTGGTTGATGTGATTAGGTCCTATGATGGTCTCGGGCTGTGGGGCTATACAATTATAGTGTAGATGTTCAGGCTCAGGCTGGAGTCCAGGCTCTGAGCCTCTCCCCCGCATGGGGTCCCAGAGCTCGGGCTGCAGCCTGAGCCCAACATCTACACTGTAGTTTTATAGCCCCACCGCCTGAGCCCTCTGAGCCCGTCAGCTGACTCGGGCCAGCCGCAGCTGTGTTGTGGATCTTTATCACCATGTAGACGTGCACTGTGCAAACATAACTGTGAGACTCCCCCTGCCCCGAAGAGCCTGCAATCTGGCTATTCCATAGAATCACAGAATTGTAGGACTGGAAGGGACCTCAAGAGATCATCTAGTCCAGTCCCCGGCACTCATGGCAGGACAAGGTATTATCTAGACTTACTCCTTTTTTACTTTTTGCTAGAGTTGTACAAAATTTTGACAACGCAATTGAAAATACACCATGTTTTTCCTTTGAGAAGTGAAAAATGTCTCTCTTTGGAAAATCCCTGCTCATTAGAAATGGAGAAATAAGCGGTTTGCGGGTCACTGCCACTCCCAGGAATAGGGTCACTGACCCACTAAAGAAACATTTTTTTTTTAATCCTTTTTGCCTTGGGGCAGAAAACAATTTCAGGTTTGTCCTCTTAGCAGGCAGGTAGCAGTTCCCCTTGGCAGCATGGTTGTGCTGACCAGTTCTGTTTACTTGCAGGTAAGGGAATTAAGAGGGATTATCAGTTCTCAGTATCCAAGTCTGAGGAGTTCTGGCGCTCTTTCCTGGCAAAGAGAGAGGAACTCAGCAATTCCCCCCTTAGGGTTGTTTATGCTGCCTATCTAAAATGTTCCCCTTCCGCAAGGTAGCTAGACAGAAACACAGATGTTTGGCCCCAGTGACTCTGTCTTTTGTGGCCAGCACAGAGAGAGAGCACATAGCTCTTCCGCAGGCTGCCATCTCCAGTATAATTCCCATCCTGATCACAGCTGCTTCTCAATGAACCACAGCTGAAGGCCGCAGGTCTCTGCAGTGCATACAGCCTTACCGGGGTTGGGCATTACAATCTCTGCTTTCACCTCCAGGAAGAGTTTTGATTCTTTCACTTTCAAAGAGCACGTCAAGACTGGGAAAATAGGTTTTGTTTTAACACGTTACGACTCATTTTCCAAGTCTAGACAAGCCTCAACGAGCATGCAGAAATGTTTGTCAATCTGTTCTACGCAGTCCTCCTCCTTCATCTCCCTCAGCTTGAACAAAATGGTGCATGAGGGAGACCCAACTGACGACAATCCTTTTCCAAAGCTCCTCCTGCGAGGCTGCATATCTCCAGGGAAAGAGGTAAAAGTCTGGCATGGATTAGAAACTGACTAAGATACAACAAAAAGAAGAAATAAACATTTAGTTTTCACCATAGCAAAAGGTTAACAGTGGAGTGCTCCCAAGTTCCATAATAAGACAGTGTTGTCTGATTTATTGATAACAGGAGAATGGGGCCAAGGGTCAGGTGGCAAACGTGCTGGTGACAGAAAGTTAGATAGGCTAGAGAAGACTGTGTGAGGAACTTCAGAAGAGACCTACTTAAACTGTAAGCTCTGTGGGGCGGGGATTTTTTGAATGTTATAATTCTTGACGTCTGATTTGTGTCCATTTATTCTTTTGCGTAGAGACTGTCCAGTTTGGCCAATGTACATGGCAGAGGGGCATTGCTGGCACATGATGGCATATATCACATTGGTAGACGTGCAGGTGAACGAGCCTCTGATGGTGTGGTTGATGTGATTAGGTCCTATGATGGTGTCCCTTGAATAGATATGTGGACAGAGTTGGCAACAGGCTTTGTTGCAATGATAGGTTCTTCTTCGAGTGCTTGCTCATATCCATTCCATTAGGTGTGCGCGCGCCGCGTGCACGATCGTCGGAGAATTTTCTACCCTAGCAACACCGGCGGGTCGGCTGTGGAGCCCCCTAGAGTGGCGCCTTCATGGCGCTGAATATATACCCCAGCCGACCCGGCGCCCCCTCAGTTCCTTCTTACC